TTCACCACTTTACATCACCACATACATACACAAAAAGATCGAAAACCGGAAGACTTGTAGTAGAAGGGCTGAAGAATAGCTAGCAATGGCGTCATACATGAGCATGGGAGATGCACACAGAAGGATAACAGAGTATTTGAATCGATTCGCCGACGTCGTTTCGTACCAAGACGGCACATCTCTCAAACAACTTCTTTCGCTGTCCTCCGAATCTCCATCTTTTCTCGCCCTCGCCGATGCCCTCAATCTCTTCCAGGTTGAATCAATTATATAATTCCAGTGATTTCCATGTAGATTCGATTGTTCATTAGTATTCATCTATCCAGTATCCTTATCGATTTTTATGCATCCAGGATGCTAACAGATTGATCAGACAAGCAGACAAGTATTCTCAGTATGCGGAAATAGTCTCTCCTTTATTTCGAGCTATGCAGAGTTATAGAGTCAGCCATTTTGCTGAATCATATCAAGCATTTGAAAAATCTGCAAAGTACTTTTCATATCTACTCTGATGTTTGAATTCTCTTTTGTTTTTCTTTACTTTTGTCACTTTTATCTTACTGATAACATGCTAATACGCCACATTTTCCAGTGCTTTCATTCAGGAATTCAGAAACTGGGAATCAGCATGGGCATTAGAAGCTTTGTATGTAGTTGTATATGAAATTAGAATTCTTGCTGAGAGGGTAAGATTAAGATTAAGAAACAGTTTCATTACTCTTGTTCATGTAAAATGACAAAAATGACCTTTTTGAAGTTGTGTATTATGCATTTAGGCTGATAGAGAATTGGCTTCAAATGGAAAGACTCCAGAGAAACTAAAAGCAGCTGGATCCTTCCTTATGAAAGTGTTTGGAGTTCTTGCTGTATGTCTTTCACTTCATCCTACAAATATATTCTAATTTCTAAGCAACAATTATTTAAATAAAACATAAAATGGAAATTAATATAAAATATATATATTTAAAGAAAATGTAAGTACATTGCTATTTCATGCAATTGTTGAATGTGGTAATTTTGGTTATAGGGAAAAGGACCAAAACGTGTTGGAGCACTTTATGTCACTTGCCAATTGTTCAAAGTTTATTTCAAGGTGACACTTCTTTACATTTTATTAATCATTTTAACTTCTCCTAATTAACTTTTTTTTTTAGGGTTTTTACTTTATTTTGTAATATTTATGTAAATTATACAACTTACACCTCATATTGCAGCTTGGAACTGTTCATCTTTGTAGAAGTGTGATACGAAGCATTGAAACTGCACGAATATTTGATTTTGAGGAATTTCCTGTTAGAGATAAGGTAAGAAATTAAATATTATAATAAATATAAAACATTTTATAATTTTTATCAACTATTTAATGTTATTTTGTTACAGGTAACCTACATGTACTACACTGGTCGCTTGGAAGTGCTCAACGAAAATTTTCCAGCTGTAATTTAATCCCACATTCCCTAATTATAACTTTTTTTTTTTTTTTTAATCGGAAAAATATTTGTTTAATCATTATATTTCGTTTTCTTTTTTCTTTAGGCTGATCATAAATTATCGTACGCCTTATCACATTGCGACCCTCAAAGTGAAGCAAACATAAGGTTTGTTTTCCGTTTCATGTAATTTAGTAATTTATTTATCTTAAGATAATAATATTTAATTTAATTTTTTTTTTTTGAAACAGGATGATTTTGAAATATTTAATACCTGTGAAGCTTTCGATAGGGATCTTACCTAAAAGAACACTCCTCGAGAAGTATAACCTGATTGAGGTATTCTTATAAATTATAATCCTTTGCATTAATAAATTTTATATTAAATATAATTACAAAAACGTATTTTTTTAAAAAAATGTATTTACTTTCTAATCATGTTACAGTATAGTGACATTGTGGTAGCTATGAGGAGAGGTGATTTACGCCTTCTTAGGCATGCACTTGAAGAGCATGAAGATCGGTATTTTTATTTTTTATTTTATTTATTTATTTATTTTTTTTAATAAAAAATAATTTTAACCAAATTTGTTTTTTGGAAAATTAAATGCATACAGATTCTTGAGATCGGGTGTATATCTTGTTCTCGAGAAGTTAGAGCTTCAGGTGTATCAACGATTGGTGAAGAAAATGTGAGTTATTTATTAATTCTAAAATAAATAATTGTTAGAATTTTTGTAGGATATAAAATAAAAATAAAAATAAATATATATAATGGTGTTGATCTGATTTATGCTGACGTGGCAGATATTTTATACAAAAGCAGAAGGACGCTAGTAAGGCGCACCAGATTAAATTAGAAGTAATTGTTAAAGCATTGAAATGGCTTGAGATGGAGATGGATTTGGATGAGGTAAAGTTAAGTTTTTACTTTTTAAAGTAGAGTTTGTGAATGTTACATGTTTGGTCCTTATAGTTTGAGATGTGTGACAGGTTGAATGCATAATGTCGATATTGATATACAAGAATTTGGTGAAAGGGTACTTTGCTCACAAGAGTAAAGTGGCAGTTTTAAGCAAACAGGATCCATTTCCTAAACTAAATGGCAAGCCGATTAATTCATAATTAGAATCCAAACAATACACGGATCTTTACTTTTGAGAGATTTTAGATATGTGCATTTATAACAAATGTGTATTTTAAAAAACTACTTTATTAGTTGAGTTAGTTTTGTTTGAAGAGGAAGGTAGAAATTGCAGCTTACTATCATAATTCTTGTAATTTAACACTTTATTGATGGGATTTTGGATTTGCTTAGTTTTGATAGTGAGGCTTGTTTTATTTCATTTTGGAACTAAAGTTTTGTGGCAAAATGGCTTAGAAGGTTAACAAAGTAGAGGAATTGTACCGATGTATTACCAATCAACTATAGCTTCATATAATCATTATTAGACTTTACATATTGTTCAAAAATATTGTTACCTGTACTAATAGGTCAATAGCCATGTAGTTTGTTGATGATATGATATGTCATGTGGATGTTTGTTGATGATATGACATATAATGTGGATGTTTATGTAGATTTTATTGTTTATTACTTACATATTATATTATTAATTTTTTTGTATGTAGTTTACTATTAAACCTTTTTTTACATATTTTTATTATGCAGACGTGTAGATATTGTTATTCTATGAGAATTTCTAAGAGAATAAGTTGTTTAGTAATGTGAATACATTCAACCATTGTTTTCATGCATTCACATTAATTCTTATTCGTTTTTGTTCTCATTTATCGTTTTTTTCACTCGTTTTCATTCATATAGAATACAACTCAATTAACATTATGAGATAATGAGAATAGTAACAAAACTTGTCTTCGCGGTTTCTACTATTTTTAAGTTCATACCTGATCCTACTTCAATATACAAATATCAATTATCTATTATTTTAGACGAAGTTATTACATTTAAATGTACAAAATTGAATATACAATTATCCATTACTTTAGAAGAAATTAAACTACTAGTCTAATCAATTAGTATAAAGCCACTCTTTCTTGGATAATTTAGTATTTATATATTTATACATTTAAATGATACTCGATGATCAAATTATAGTATTCAAATGTAAAAATATGTATTTATATACTGAAATGTCTATTTATACGAAAAATATATATATTTATGTTAAAATATTTTTTTCATATGTATGTAAAACTATATATTTGTACATTAAATATTTGAGTTTATTTGTAAAATTATTTTATATGTATGTAATAAATGTATATTTTTTTTTGAAATTGTATCTTTTAAACGAATCATATAAGATTAATGGTAAAATATATACCGGAAAATTTCAGTTGTATAATGTGTCAATAATAAATAATAAAATCCACATCAACAACAATATGACATGCTATGCGGGTGTTAACCTACTATTAACGATAATCCCATTATATATTTTTTGAACAAAATGTAAAGTCTAATGGTGATTCATGTATAAAAGCTATAGTTATTTGCTAATGTGTACACAAAATAAAAATTAATGATATTTTTTTTTGTATAATTCTTATAGTTTGTGTCATTTTCGCAAGTTTTGCAATTTTAAAGATGCTAGCCTTCATAAAAGTAAAAATGTGTTGCAAGTTTTAACAAAAGAAAAACACAAGTTTAAGCAAATATGTCAAGTATTTTATTTTTTCAAATTATAGCTAAATATGAAGAATATATTTTTTTTCTTTTCATTTTTTCTTAGTCTTACATCATATTTTTTATTGTATTAATCTATCACTACCTAATACTTGTTTTTGGCAAAATACAAACCTTTCATTTATTGCAAAAATATTTTTAAAATTTTACCAGAAAAAAACAGCAAAAAAGTTCTCCATAAAATCATAATTTTCATATAAAAAGAACAATTTCACGGTTTACATTAAACATATCAATGTAATTTGACCAATTTCTGGGTTCAACATGCGGAATTTGTGGGAAAACCTTAATTTTTAAAAAAGTTGATATTTTTTTGTTTTTGTCATTTTCTCATTCAATAATTTCAATAATTAATATAAGTTAACCCACATGGACACCACCTAGAATTTGGAAATAGAAATAGTATGAACAAAATCAAAATTTGCCAATGACCCACATAAAAAAAAAAAAAAAAAAAAAAAAATAAAAAAAAACACTTCCATGTGCATGACCACAAACAACAAATAAAACCAGAAATGATTGTTTGGTGACAAGTGACAACCAACACCTTAAAACTATGATTACATCAAAAGGGTAAATTGGGAATAAGTAACATCATTGCTATTTGCTCAAAAGATTTAAAGACAAAAAAAAAAAAAAATGAATAAACAACACATAGAAAAAAAGGAACAGGAAGCACAACCATTGATTTCCACCAAAATATAATAAACCAACAGTCATTCTCTTCTCTTTCTTTGTTCCTTTATCTAAATCTAATCAACCACAAGTCACATTCTTTATAAAAAGACACCTATAAGATGATCAAAAAGAGCTTTTGAATTTGATATTGATTATTGTAACAAGTTGTAATTACTAACTAACTACCACTTGAAGGGTTTAGACCATTGATTTTCATGAATTGGGATCTTCTCAGGTTCATATTCATGTTCTTCAGATTCAGGAATGGTTTTCATCTCATGAACTAGAGTAGCTTTCTTATCTTTTTTCATTGCCTCTTTCTTTCTTGGCCTCGTAAATATGTATGCTGTAAATTGAGAAATAAAGACAGGTTATGTGCCCATTATCTCTCAGATTTCAGTGTATTTCTCATAAGAAGATGAAGAACTAATGAATGTTAACTGTGATCCTATGAACAAAACTACATACTAATGATGTAAGTAATCCGATTATTCCAAAGTTAGATTCAACTAGTTATCTTGAACTTGATTTGTAAACCAACTGGGAATTCTTGGGAACAAATTTATCTTTGTGTAATGGGTTCTAAAATGGATTGTATGAAACCCTAATTGCTTCCCAATTTGAAACCTACGATATTTATAACTAGTCTCTGCTCACTCGAGCATATAAGCATTTTCCTTTAGCATCTAATAATGTCGGATTTAGAGTCGTGCACGATTATCCAAACATATGATGGAAGGGGAAAAGTTAGATTTTAAGTTTGCGGCGTTTGATCATCAAACCCTAAGATTACGTCTAAATCGCATTCTACCTAAACCTAAACGGATCGCGTAAATCATATGAAATAAATGAAATTGAGCTATAGATGCTATATATAAATGCTACGGTATTCTGAAACAAGCTGTGAGTGCATCAAAAAGAGAAAGGAAGAAAGAAAGAGGTGGGCTGACCTCCGAGAGCAAGGTTAGAAATGAGAAGAATACGCCAGACAAATTTATAACCTCGTGCAAGAGTTTCCTTCGGTGGTTGCGGCGGAGGGGGCTGCGGTGGTGGTGGAGGTCTTTCCATTGAAATCTCGACGACGGTTCTCTGTAAGCAGTGACGATGGCGACGACGACGACTTTCCGACGTTTGTACCTCCAATGGGCTGCGGGTCTTCTTATTTTGGTTTATTGGCCCAATTACTTTTTGATCCAGAACTCCACACTTGTTTATCAACATCATTACGATATTTATATGCTTTTAATCATATGTTCATATAATATTGTTTTCAACTTATGCATTTAATCAAATTAGATAACATAAATTATCAATAACTTTTAAATGGCTAACATTTGTTTTCAACTTAATACTAAACCTCAAAAATATATCGTTTTAACTTAGTATATATACGGTTTGGTTTTTCACTTGGTAAATATACCATCATCAATAACATTTCTTTTCTCCATTATTGTTTTACAATCTTTGTATTCGTTATTCTATTATCGTTTATTACTTCACCCCATTGAAAATTATTATTTTTCCACTGTCACGAAGTTCGAAGATAATCAATATTCTTGCTTCCTTATCAAAACTATTACGCCGATCTTGAATCTACATCTTCAAGTGTTAATCGTGAATCCCCGAACCACAATCTTTATATAATAAAACAATGTATTTTCATGAGGTTCAGTACCTAAGCTTAGGTAGAGTTGTAATGTTTATATATATATATATATATATATATATATATATATATATATATATATATATATATATACATACTAGCCGTTTACCCGTGCCAAGCGACGAGTGTGACAATGGTGGTTTAATGCTGAAAGATGAATTAAACCCTAGAAATTGAAACGATAGCGATATATATCAAAGATTTGTGAACAAAAATTGCGAGATTTCGGAAAATACGGAGATAAGGAATGAACCGGATCAAAATAGCCTAAGAATAGGGGATAAGCGATTTGACATTTTCAACTATTGACCATATGTACTCTACTCTTTTTGTAATGCATAAATTGATTGTACAAATGTATTGTATGTTTGTACGACTTAAAATTCAATATTTGACCAAAAAGGTAATTAATATATATATATATATATATATATATATATATATATATATATATATATATATACACACACACACACACATATATATAGACACACACACATACACACAAGTAAAATGCTCACATGTTGGAGTGACGACGATTAGTTTCATTTTTATAACTTATATTAAATTTCCAGTTAAGTATCATGTTGTTGTGGTTAAAAAAACATATAATTATGTTGTTTTTATTAAAAACAAATTGATATGTTACATAAAAATGGTGTTGTAATATCTAAGAGTTATGTGGTTGCTCCATATAAAGAGTGTATATTAAACATAATTTTGTATGTACCAATAATAAGAGTTTACCATATTCTATTTTATACAAGAGTGATTCCTTTTCGTAGCTTCACTTTATCTATTTAAACACCGTACATATCCCCACATCATTTCCTCCCTCTTCCACTCCAAACACGTGAAAGCTAAGACATCTAACATCTTTTTGTTTTTATTTGTAACTGAAACATGCATATAATAAATATTCTAAAGCATACTTTTATAACATCATGAACTTTTTATATTAAAAACAAAATTTACTTAAAAATAACAAAGAGAAAACATCCTTATTCATTGAAGAGGGTCTTCAAGAAAGCTTTTCTTTCATTCATCATTTCATCATTAAGATCGAGAATATCCAGTGAACACACAAACACATATATGTCATTTTTCTTCCAACTCCGAATATGTCCTTTAACCATATATCTAGTGTTTATGGGAAAGTGCTTAAGTTGTGTGGTGAGGTACAAATTTTCATCGAAACCATTGTTAATTTTATCCTATAAATTTAACATTTTTATCCTTAGATGAAAATACATGAACATTGTAATATCCTGATTTTCGAGACCAAAAATTTTGTTTTTTTAATTATGTTACTCATAAAACATTTTACTTAAAAACATTATCGATATCATATAAATGCATAAAACCATAATCACAAGTCTCAAAAATCATATCATCAATAATAAATAATGTCAGAGTACAATCCGATAGATTTCAAAATGCGGAATCATGTGTGTGCGATGTGCTGCTACCGTGTAGACTCCTTCCCCTTCGACGAAGAGGTACTTGAAACCAAAACTGAAAACTGTAAGCACAAAGCTTAGTGAGTTCTCCCATCATACCGCATACCACATAATGCCTATTCCTCGATATCTTTCAACCGGTAATTGAGAACTAACCTCCCATTCGGTATCTTTCAACCGGTAACCAGAAGCTAACCTCCCATTTGGTATCTTTCAACCGGTAACCGGGAGCTAACCTCCCCTTCGGTATCTTCCAACCGGTACCCGGGAGCTAACCTCCCCTTCGGTATCTTCCAACCGGTAACTGGGAGCTAACCTCCCCTTCAGTATCTTTCAACCGGTAATCGGGGACTATTTCACCCCTACCACTATTACATAATAATATATCAGGATCATACTGCTAGGGATGAATGGGTACTATCTACCCCTTCGGTATCTTTCAACCGGCAATCAGGAGCTAACCTCCCCTTCGGTATCTTTCAACTAGTAACCAGTGACTATTTCACCCCTACCGCTATTACATAATAATATATCAGGATCATACTGCTAGGCATGAATGGGTACTATTTACCCCCTTGGTATCTTTCAACCGGTAAACCGGGACCTAACCTCCAATTCGGTATCTTTCAACTGGTAACTATTTCACCCCTACCACTACTAACACATATGTCACAGCATCCTAGCATATAAATATAACAAATATCAACATACCAGAAAATTATCACAAAGACAATCATCTTTACTACAATCTCTTACTAATGGGCCGACTTTGGTGCCTTAGACCCACCTCAATGATGTGCAGTAACTGAACTGTCCTCGATGTCAGGATCAACTCCTCTCAATTCCTACACATAACGACCTTCCTTAATTTACCATTACACATTCTTAACCCTTACAAGGGTTACTCAGGTCAAAGCAAAAGTGAAGGTCAACGCCTTGGTCAAAGTCAACGTCTGGTTGGCTCGACTCACCGAGTTGACCCAACAACTCGCCGAGTCCCTAAATCTTCAAAACTCTAAAACCTCGATCCTACTCGCCGAGTCTTGCATGCACTCGTTGAGTTCTACTTCATACAAGGTTCGGACCTTCTACAACTGACTCGCTGAGTTCATCCTTAAACTCGTCAGGTCCTTCTTCATGCAAGAAGACACATTTAGTCCTGGACTCGTCGAGTTCCTTATGAACTCGTCGAGTTCATCTTCATGCAGTTGGGACTTGTCTTGAACTCGTCGAGTTCTGTTCTTGAACTCGCCGAGTTCCATGATTTCCAGGTCCATCATGAGTCCAAATAACTGAGTGTTCTTCTAAATCAGCACATTGTCCATTATTAGAAGAGGTTTAGGGGAAACGCGACCCGACTCCCCGAGTCGTTTGAGTGACTCGCCGAGTTGCTCCTTGTCCATTACTATTCAGTCAATTTCAGATGATCTTAATGCATCCAAAACATAGATCTGACCTCCTAGGGTCCATAATACACGTAAAGTTACAAACTTGACGTTCATGCATGGGGTATTTGGCTTAAATGGCCCTAAAATGGAGTCTACAAGATGCATGGGGCTCTTATGGCAATAAAGTTGGCACCTTTATGCCATGGGAACCCTTAAAGGTTCTAGATCTGAAGTCATACCCCTTTATCACCACAAAATCCCGAATATGACACTTCTAAAGCTTAGAAAAGGTAGAAATGAACCCTAACTAGAGATCCAAGAGATAGATGGTCAAGGTTGAAGCTTTTTACCTTGAATGAACTGGAAATGAAGCAAAACCTCTAGATCTACTTGCTTCTTCTGGAACCCCCAAGCTTCTACTTCCTTTTCCAAGCTTAAAACAACCAAAAACACACAAAAATGGCTCAAGAACACTCCAAATGCTTTAAGGTTTCGAGTTAGGGCTTTTCTGCACTGGGAGGGATGATAGAGGCTGGGGTGGGACAAGATAAGGCGTTTAAATAGGATGCAAACCCTAAATAAAAGTGTTTCATCCTGACAGTCCTACTCGCCGAGTTGGGCTCTCCGACTCTTCGAGTAGGTTACATAAAAACCACGTCCAAAGTCTAGTCTACTCGACGAGTTGGGCTTCCAACTCGCCGAGTCCAGTGTAAAAACATAAAAGTATTTAAATTTAAATACATACTAGGAACCGGGTGTTATAAACATGTCATGTCTTACTTCTTGAATTAGATCATTTATTGATAAGATGACAGTCACCGTATTTATTTATAATATGTATTTATTTCTTTTGTTTGCTCTGCAAAGTGGAAATATTGCGACATAGTTATGAAACACCCTAAAGATACAGTCCAAAAATTTTGTTTTTAAATCATTATTAGAACCATAAATATCATCATCATAGTACAAAATCATAAACCATGTATCTCAAAATATCATAATATCTATCAACATATCAAAATATCATATCAAACATCAAAGTAAATCTCCCAGGCTAGAAAAACTGTGGTGTGTGCCATGAGATCATCCCGAGCCCTTCCCTTTGCTAGCTGAAGTACCTGAAACCAAACTAAAAACTGTAAGCACGAAGCTTAGTGAACTCCTCCAAACTACCACATACCATACACATATATCATATAACATATAACACAACTATGGGTCACCGCCAAACTGCATCGGGACGAACCCGACATCGGAATCCTACCCGACATCGGGCTCACCCCGACATCAAACCACGTCTGGCATCGGGCTCACCCTGACATTGGGGTTACCCCAACATCAGGCTTACCCCGACACATACACAACATATCATATAACATAAACACATAACATAAGCATATAACATGTAAAATAACTTTGGGACACCGCCCAGCTTCTTCGGGACGAACCCAACATCGGCTTACCCGACATCGAAATCCTGCCTGACATCGGGCTTACCCCGACATACACACAACATATCATATCTCATAAATACATAACATAGGCATATATCATAAGCATATAACATACATCGGGCTTACCCCGACATCGGATGAAAGCCCAAAACACATAACAACTAACATATTAGCTAACATGCATCATGCTTGCCCGGAAATCGAACCTAGGCCCGCAACACATAACACATAACATGCAGAATCAAAAAGACATCAA